CCCCCCCTCCAGCAGGCGCTCAGAGCTCAGCCGCGCACTCCCGGTCCCGGGTCGTTTGTCCGCTTTCGCTGCTTTGCCTTCTTCCCGTCCCCTCCCCTCCCACCTGCCCGCTCACCCACCCACCCAAGCCAGCCCAAGTAGCACGTGTGTGCGGGGGGGCCGGCGGCGGCTCACCTGAAAAAGAGCTGGGAGAAAACGTTCGCCTTTTCCAGAGGGGACCTCTGCATGGTCCCCTACCGGCAGGGCTCGCTGAGGGCAGCAAGCTAAGGGAAGAAAAAAAAAAGGAGGGACGAGTTTCCCTCAGCGGGCTGCGCCGTTTATAGTCTCGCCTTTCCCCCCCCCCCCCCCCACCTCTTCTTCTTCCACCACCCCCCTCCCCAATAAAAGCGGGACAAACCACAGTTTGCGCCGCCGTCTCTCTTCCTACCTTCTCCGACTCGGAGGTCACCGCCTCCCTCTTTCTCCTGCCCCCTCACACACACACACCCCACCCCGCCTCTGCAAGTCGGCCCCCTCCGCTTCATAAGCCGGCCCTCCCCGCTTCACACAACGCAAAAGGCCCCGCTCTCGTCGCGCCCTGCAAGAGGCGCTCCGAGCGCCAGGTGCCTCTCTCTCTCTCTCTCTCTCTCCGTCCGCCCTGACTCCCGGGGGGAATTCGCCTTGGCGAGTTTCCCTCAGGGCGAAGAAGAAGCCGCAGTTCCTCCCTCTTTGCCTTTTCAGCTTTGCTTAGCGACCGACCGTCGCGGCCTCGAAAGAGGAATCGGATTCCCTCAAACTTCGTCGTCGTCGTCGCCGGCCGGCGGCTGCTTCTCCAAACCTCCGCGGGGTGGGTAGCTGGCAGCCTGCCGTCTTCAAGAAAAGCCAAGCGCCTCTTTTTTTTTTTTTTTCCAGATTCAAGCGAGGCTTTTCCCGGAGTTGGGGGCTTCAAAACGGGACGGGATCTCGGTCCTGCAACTCAAGTTGTCAAAGGCTTCGACGAAAAGCTTTATCCAGCCGCCGCGAGGAAGAACGTAACGCTCGGTTTGGCGATGGCGTGGCGCCTTGCTTAGACACGCGTTATGGGCCTGGCACTTGGGTTTTTTTTTCCCCGCGAAGTTTCAGGTGCCACCCTTTCCCCGCTTTAGCGGCTGAGTATGG